GAAGGCCTGGGACCACCTCACTCATATAACACCATCTGTGGGGAATTACTACCACGTCAGGCCCTCATAACACCATATGTGAAGAGTTACTACCACGTGAGGCCCTCATAACACCATCTGTGAGGTTACTACCACGTGGGCCCCTCATAACACCTCTGTGAGAATTACTACACGTGAGGCCTCATAACACCATCTGTGGGGATTACTACCGTGGGGCCCTCATAACACCATCTGTGAGGTTTACTACACCACGTGAGGCCCCTCATAACACCATCTGTGAGACCATCTGGGAGGAACTACTACACCACGTGAGGTCCTCCTAACACCATCTGGGAGGAACTACTACACCACGTGAGGCCCCCTCATAACATCTGTGAGAACTACACCACGTGGTCCCTCCTAACACCATCTGGGAGGTTACGTTTTGCTGTTCAACACCTACATTAATCTGTGTTCACTGTATGTTCCTTTACCTTTCTCTAATGAAGGCTTTTGTTAAACCACCAATGTATGTAATAAGTCATTTATGTCCAATGTATATTTTCAGCCTTCAGGCTGCAGAACTTTTTCAATAAACCGTCAATTATTATTATTATTATTATTATTATTACACACACACACACACACACACACACACACACACACACACATTTCATCACCTTTGAGTCTTACTATTATCCTTTAATGGACATAGTGATTATCCCAGTGCGAAATATTAGAACGTTGATATGAGATAGTGAGAAGGAGGAGAGGGAGGGGAAGTGAGTGGGAGGAAATGGAAAAGGTTCTCTGTTCGGAATATGTTGAAATATTTTGGTGATGGTGAAATGTTCGTGGATGTTGGCGTGGGTAAGTGATTACTGTACGTGGTTGTGAAGGTGGGTACTGTACGTGGTTGTGAAGGGTACTGTACGTGGTTGTGAAGTGGGTACTGTACGTGTTGTGGTAGGTACTGTACGTGGTTGTGAAGTGGGTACTGTACGTGGTTGTGAAGGGTGGTACTGTACGTGGTTGTGAAGGTGGTACTGTACGTGGTTGTGTAAGAGGTTGGGTACTGTGCGTGGTTGTGTAAGAGGGTAGGTACTGTACGTGGTTGTGGTGGTACTGTACGTGGTTGTGTAGGTGGGTACTGTACGTGGTTGTGTAGAGGGTGGGTACTGTACGTGGTTGTGAAGGGGAACTCGTGGTTGTGAAGGTGGGTACTGTACGTGGTTGTGTAAGAGGTTAGTTCTGTACGTGGTTGTGTAGAGGGTGGAGCCTGTACGTGGTTGTTTTGAGGGTGGGTACTGTACGTGGTTGTGTAAGGTTGTTGTACGTGGGGTGGAATTACTGTACGTGGTTGTGTAGAGACTGTACGTGGTTGACAAGGTTGTTGTACGTGGGGTAAGTAGGTACTGTACGTGGTTGTGATTAGGTACTGTACGTGGTTGTGTAAGGGTGTTGTACGTGGAGTCGTGGAGTACTGTACGTGGTTGTGGTAGGTACTGTACGTGGTTGTTAAGAGGTTGTTGTGGGGTAAGTAGGTACTGTACGTGGCTGTGTGGGGTAGGTACTGTACGTGGTTGTGTAGAGGTGTTGTACGTGGGGTAAAGTAGGTATGTACGTGGTTGTGAAGGGGTGGTACTGTACGTGGTTGTGTGGTGTTGTACGTGGAGTAAGTAGGTACTGTACGTGGCTGTGTGGGGTAGGTACTGTACGTGGTTGTGTAAGGGTGTTGTACGTGGGGTAGAGTAGGTACTGTACGTGGTTGTGAAGGGGTAGGTACTGTACGTGGTTGTGTAAGGGGTAGGTACTGTACGTGGTTGTGTAGGGAGGGTATTGTACGTGGAGTGGAGTGGGTACTGTACGTGGCTGTGTGGGGAGTAGGTACTGTACGTGGTTGTGTAGAGGGGTGTTGTACGTGGGGTAGGTAAGGTACTGTACGTGGTTGTGAAGGGGAGTAGGTACTGTACGTGGTTGTGTGAGAGGTTGTTGTACGTGGGGTAGAGTAGGTACTGTACGTGGTTGTGAAGGGGTAGGTACTGTACGTGGTTGTGTAAGAGGTTGTTGTACGTGGGGTGTAGAGTGGGTACTGTACGTGGTTGTGAGGGTGGGTACTGTGCGTGGTTGTGTGAGAGGGTGTTGTACGTGGGGTGGTAGGTACTGTGGTTGTGAGAGGGTAGGTACTGTGCATGGTTGTGTGAGAGGTTGTTGTACGTGGGGTAGAGTAGGTACTGTACGTGGTTGTGAAGGGGTAGGTACTGTACGTGGTTGTGGAAGGGTTGTTGCGTTGGGTAGAGTAGGTACTGTACGTGGTTGTGAAGGGGTGGGTACTGTACGTGGTTGTGTGAAGGGTGTTGTACGTGGGGTAGAGTAGGTACTGTACGTGGTTGTGAAGGGGTAGGTACTGTACGTGGTTGTGTAAGAGGTGTTGTACGTGGAGTAGAGTAGGTACGTGGTTGTGAAGGGGGTAGGTACTGTACGTGGTTGTGTAAGGGTGTTGTTGTACGTGGGTAGAGTAGGTACTGTACGTGGTTGTGAAGGGGTAGGTACTGTACGTGGTTGTGTGAAGGGAGGGTGTTGTACGTGGGGTAGAGTAGGTACTGTACGTGGTTGTGAAGGGGTAGGTACTGTACGTGGTTGTGTAAGAGGGTGTTGTACGTGGAGTAAGAGTAGGTACTGTACGTGGTTGTGAGAAGGGGAGTAGGTACTGTACGTGGTTGTGTGAGAGGGTGTTGTACGTGGAGTAGAGTAGGTACTGTACGTGGTTGTGAAGGGGTAGGTACTGTACGTGGTTGTGTAAGGGTTGTTGTGCGTGGAGTAGAGTAGGTACTGTACGTGGTTGTGAAGGGGTAGGTACTGTACGTGGTTGTGTAAGAGGGTGTTGTACGTGGAGTAGGTAGGTACTGTGCGTGGTTGTGAAGGGGTAGGTACTGTACGTGGTTGTGTAAGAGGGGTGTTGTCGTGGAGTGAGAGTAGGTACTGTACGTGGTTGTGTGAAGGGTGTTGTCGTGGTGGGTAAGGTATGTAAGATGGTAGGTACAGTCCCTTCAGCTAGTATTGCGTTACAGGGGCTCATCACAGTCCCCTTCACTAGTGCGTTTACAGGGGCTCATCACAGTCCCCTTCGCTGATGCGTTTACAGGGGCTCATCACAGTCCCTTCACTGAGTTTACAGGGGCTCATCACAGTCCCCTTCACTAGTGCGTTTACAGGGGCTCATCGCAGTCCCCTTGCTAGTGCGTTACAGGGGCTCGTCACAGTCCCCTTCACTAGTGCGTTTACAGGGGCTCATCACAGTCCCCTTCACTAGTGCGTTTACAGGGGCTCATCAGATCCCCTTCACTGAATGCGTTTACAGGGGCTTGTCATATAAACATTCCACAAATCATCACATTGAAATATTTGTTTAATATTGTTTTACTTGGAATCCATAATTTGGTTACTATTACGAGTTTCCTGCTGTCGAATGTAAACAAACACAGCACTGCCACACTGCACATAACTCGAGGACCCCTGTATAAACGGACTAGTGAAGGCGACTATACTTGGGTAGGATATATGCTTGGTTAAGTGAGGTTAGGTTGAGTTAGGTTAGGTTAGATTGGGTTAGGTTAGATTAGGTTGGGTTAGAATTAGGTTGAGTATGGTTATGTTAGGTTAGGTTAAGAAAATGAAACGTTTACGGTGTATCTATGAACGTTTAAGAGTTTTAATATAAACGTTTGTTTTTATGTATCTCTGGTCAGGGCAATCATCGTTCCGTCAACTTTAGAGCCTCGATATAACCCCCTGGTGGAGACAGCTGGAAGTGTGGCGTGATAGTGACCAGCCACCTCCCCTCCCACTACCTCCCCTCCACCTCCTACTCGTCCTCCACGTATTGTATTGGCCGAAGAAGCGAAAGTTGTGTTGCGAGAAGATAATAATCAAAGAGTGTGTGTTGTGAGAGAGAGAGAGAGAAGAGAAAATATACACAGACAGACAGACAGACAGACGGAGAATAAACGCAGACAGACAGACAGATAATAATGGACACAGACCCACATTTACAACCAAGACAATAGAAAAAAGAATAAACACGAGAGATAGAGACGCAGATAACACCCCCTCACCGCCCCTCACC